AGGTTCCAAGATCAAGGAGAGATGTGTTCGGCATTCCTCCACAAAAGCTTTAAAAGGTGTTTGGTGTTTGGTTGATCACCATTCTTTAGCACCAAGTGGCCACTGGCCACAGGCCACTTGTTAGAGGCCGCCTTTGCGTCCGTCGGTTTTATGGGGCCCAGATAATTATTGTTGTGTCTCCCAAAAGTGAAAACAACATAAAACAACAAACAGAAAGAAATACCTTCGGGAATCCCTCAATATCATCTTCGCCCATGCTGTTGTTGAATTACAAAGTTTACACATTATACTGTATCATGTATCAATCATATAGTTAAATGATGTGAAATGTCTGTATACGACTGACATATATAAAGCCTTGTGCGCGTGTGCTTCACCTCGCTGGTTATCACCGGCTCTCCCTCACCGACGTCCTCGATCGACCCTTCACCTCCCAGGCTTTCACCGAACGATGAGGAGTCTCAAAGGACCGACCGGGCGAGCTCGCTCGGATTCCCTCGACTCCAAACCGCACCGATCGGCGAGAGCCGAGACGGTTGCGGGTGCTGACACCGGGTGTGGACATCCCGAATTACCACCAAGGGCCCCCCTATGATAGACGCCCCGTAGGGGGCCCATATATGGTCACTTGATGTTGGTTTTGGATCGGATGATGGAGGTTTGGGTTTGCTCTCGATGATGATCAATGTGACTGGTCTGCAAGATCCAAGTTGGAGGGTCCTAGTGGTTTCACGGTCTCTTTTGGGGCTTTGCATCGGGATTCGATCAATTCACTGGTTCCCAAGGCGCCTTGGGTCGTGTTGTTTGGTACCTCACGACCCAGCCGACGTCGGCACAGCCCGGTGGATCACGTGGGCGGCGACCGTCGATCGGTCCGAGGCATTCGGTGGCACCGGTGGTTCGAGCGAGACACGGTTTCATGGGCATCGATCGGGATGTCCCATGGCGCGTTTTTGAAGACTGACTATATGCAAAGGAGAGTTGATAGCGCGATTCCGCTTGAAGGACATAGATGGGCCATCTGATGGGCTAATCTCTTCATCAGAGATGATTCCCCCTGCAAGATTCTGCTATGCAGGATCTCCACTCTAAACAGAAGAGCGGGATATCCACTCAAGGCTTGATGAAAGTGCCAAAAGGACATGAAGGGCAAACGTGGTAAGCTGTTTGGTGCTTGAAAGCGTCGGGTTACTCTGATTTGGGGGCTGCAGACTTGCTGGCCAAAGGAGTCTTCACTGAAGAAGACACAAGTTCTTGGACAGATGAGTGAGAAAACACAACAACGATAACAACTTCCTCCATTTTCCATGCCCTTTTTAACACCTTTGTTTTCTTTTTCAGTCATTCTATACGGCGTCTTTGCCGTATCAACTTCCTCACCAAAAAACGATTAAGTTTTCATCATTGTTCTCCCTCGGATCCATATTGTTATTTTTGTTTTTTGCGTTTGTTTTTTTCCCGAGAGGATCAGCTCTCTTTTTCAGCGATCTATCCGACAGGAGCCTCCATCCTGGTTCTCGAGTCAGGTGTCAAGGCTTACAACAGCAATGGCACATCAACGGTCAGTACGGCACTGTAGTGGCTTCTGGGCAAGATGTTTTGAGTTTGATGAAATTCCCACCATGAGGGTGATATCCTGCTCGATATATCCTGATAGTTGCCGATCGGATGACAGGTGTTTTTTCCCTTCGGGTGAAGTCGATTTGGCGTTATTTGGTTGTTTCGATGTCCTGTTCAGCACGTCCAAGTGATACGACATGTTTCCAACAAACATACTTCTACTGTATTTAATATGTCTTGTACAATGATCATGTGTATATATTAAACCTGAAAGAGGGAGGCATGCTGCACGCTTCTTGTGGGTTTGGTGGCAGTTTTGGTTGAGCCTTTGCTGACAAAGCTATATATGGAAGCTGAATGAAACTGACCAAATGATCTTCTGGAAGAAACTCACACTCTTTCAAACTGAGCCAGCTGGTATACCGAGGCAATCCCAGGCAAGTGCGCAGGAAAGTATAATATCTAGTGATATGCTTGTAAGCCACTATCTTTTTACATACTATATTTTTAAATACACTAGTCACTCTTTCCACTTTGGTTCTACCCCGCATGAAGAGCAGGATCTTGGTTGTTGAGAACTTTGTCATGTTCTTTGATTTCTTTGCATTCTCTTGGAGCCTGTAGGGACCTTTGGCAATGCAGTTCCCATATTAGCCAGGCAAGCAGAGGTTCTACGTTCGTGTGCTTTTGTTGAACAAACCTGGTGCCTGGTGCCTGGTGCAGGGCCTGCTCAATGGAAGATCATTTTCCTTTACAAATTGGTCAAATCCATCTCCATGGTCATTTGAGAACCGAAGAATACCAGCTCTTTGGCCCAGGCCCTACACATGTCCTGCTTCAAAATGGTTACATTTGAACAATGGTAGTTACAGTAATTCTGCGGCCGCTCTTTGGCTCTATGTTGAAAGTTGAAAGCCAATATCGAACATCAGCGTAAGAATTCTTTGACTTCAGAAGTTTTGCTACAATAACCTCAAGAACGAATCCCACAGTAAGTACTGCCAGCACCACCCAGTTCGGGTGGTTGCTGTTCCATCCAGGAACCATCCGAACTTGGTGGTGCAGGAGGTCCTTCCAGATAGGTCGCTACACATGTCCGGACTCTTACCTCCAGTTCGCTTCGGTGCGTGCAGCTGATGGCGAGAATGGAGGGTCCTACCTTCGACTCCGATGGGGTATACATCATGCAGCTGTCGGCTGACAGGGTTCCTCCTGTTCCTCCTGTGCTTTCTTTCACTGACATGTTGCTGGTACACCCGACGATCAACAGGTCTCCAGAATGGCTGAATCACGACGACCCAAAATTGGTGGCAGGTGTTGACCTGGCAGGTTTTGGGGTTGCTGGTACGAGTCCAGTATACTGACTTTCATTTGTTTTCCTCAGCCAGAATGAAGCGGCATATTCGAGGCTTGGGACCGTGCGGAACAGAGATGGCAGGCCACGGCGCACTTCGTATGGGGCGATTTCAGAACAGGCATTCCATAGATTGGTGGCTTGTGGGGATTGCGCCCCTTCCCTAAGAATCCGACCCCAGGCCCTCCGCAGGGGTCGGACCTTCTCCACCAAACCCAGGGGTGACCCGGTTCCACCTCTCAAAAGCCGTATTTTTTCAGGTCCAGAGTTCGGAGGTGGGGTTCTTCAAAGTGATCCATTAACCTGATCCATTCCAGCACCTTCAAAGGGATCAATGGAAGCCCTTACACCGAAGGTCCAGGTTGGACTTCTTTTGTTTTTTTCTTGGTTGCTTCGGTCACCTTTCGGCTATAAGTTCGGTCACGACCTGATCCCAAAAAGGTCACGAATGAAGATCTAGGGAATGGTCTAGACCATGGCCTTGCCACCAATGGCTGAAATTGATGGGTGGCCTATTCTCTCAATAGAGGACTGGTACTCGACAGATGCTTTCATATTGGTTTCTGGGTAGTACAGAAAAGCGCCCGCGACTCGCAGCTGCAGCACTCTTCGCTTCCGACTCTTCGCGTCGATCCCATCGGATGCACATGTTGATCGGAAGAGTCCGGCAACAAATCCGCTTAGTCAGTTGTTGTGGGACGTCAGAGAAACACGAAGAGACATAGTGACGTACATGTCGACAGTGACGTACATAGAGAAACTCCCCGGTGAGTCATCGAAGTGGAGTGAAGAGCACCTTTAGTGGCATTTGGATTTCATGGTCATCCATGGTCGGCCATGTATGGCCATCCACTTTCATGTTGAGAAATCAGGGAGTTTCCACTGACTCCTTGCTTGGTCCCCGTCCTTTTTCCTCCTTCCACCTTTGGGCCAGGTGCGCCTGGACAGCGGCAGCGGTCACTCCCTCCAGGCGAAGAACCTGCAGCTGCAAGCCTCCTCGGTGGCCGCTGGTGCGCGCGTGGTGGTCAAAGGCCAGGAGATGCGGAAGGGGGGTCGGACATGGTCGCTGAAGTCTGAATTTCTTGGATCTCAGCGGGTCCTGGTAGGATCTGGTAAGGCTTGGGGCCCTCAATTGGGTGGGATGAACATGAACACATGGTTATAGACCTGTAGAGTCAAGGTACAATCAGGTATATAAAGATTTCACTAAAACTCCTACGTTTCCTTATTCCATATTATTCCAAAATGAACATCCAGAGGCACGTACAAAAGAGTTGACCCTTCTGAAGAGCGAAGCGGATGACCTTGGACTGTCATAGACTAGAGTCTATCGCGAGAGAGTCATTCACAATGCTAAGGGTCTCATTACATCCTCAAGAGGTTTTTGTCCACCATCCCCACCAAGTCAAGCGATGGTCGATGCGCTGTGTCCAGGTCTTCGGCCTCAGTAGTCGATGCAGTCAATGCAGTCAGCACCGCTACCTGCACCGCCGGGTCGGCACCTGCCACTTCCTCATGTCAAGCACCATGTCCGAGACTTCAGCCACCAGTCGGGTGCTGGTACTTCGGTATTGAATCCACACCGTCTAAAATCGATGACCGTCCAAAATGCCAAGCTCCCGGTGGAACACACAAGAAAACACCACGACACTTAGGTGGGACCTCGTTTGGTCCATCAACCATCCCATAGTGCAGCAACTGGTGTTTCAAGTTTCAGAACCAAAAAGATCATTAAACAAAAATCCTTTCAACATGGTTCACTCAGTTCACTCACCACATGACCCCAACAAGTCCTTCACTTCGCAGCTTGGTCACACCGACATCGGCCGCACCTGCCGCCCGCTCCTCGAGGCCTCCGCTCGCAGCCGGAGCTCAACGGCGCGGTGGGCACCGCCCGGCGGTGGGATGTCACCGAGGAGCGCTGGCAGGTGGCGACGGTGAGACCGGTGGTGGGACCGGGACGGTGGTGGGGTTCGGTTGGAAGGGACCATGGCGGTTTGGGGGGAACTGTGAACTCTTACCCAGACACTCCAAGTGATATACAGCTGTATATACTGTATACCTTCACCAATCAGACCCGAGAAATTCGCAAACCAGGGTTTGCCCCCCCAAACACGGGGTTTTGGTTCTTGGCACCCAGAAAGAGGCTGGACCAGTGAGACCAGTGACTATCAATCCACACCAAAAACAAAAACATTTCAGAGGGATACTAGAGGGTTCAACCCGCGTTATTTTTTCACGGGGAAATCACGGGTCCACCACGGTTTCGTCACGGGTTTGGCCAACGTTTCCCGGGTTTCCAGACTCAAAAGGACAGAGAATACATATATAAGATAGTGATAGAGAGCTGGTTTTGTGGAAGGCCGGTGATTCTGGACTTTGCCCTTCTGCATGGGTGAATATATGTGTGTTGTTTCTTTTTCCCCCTCGGGATCCCGGTTCCTGGACCGCAAATCCGAGATTGAGATCAATCGAGTCGTGAGGCTCGGGAGATGGATGGATGGATGGATGGATGGTTCGAGCTGCGTGTCATCTTCTTTCATCTCGAGACGAGAGTGGTGAAAAACACATCTCGTTGATTGGAATTGATTGGACCTGTCCAAAGCGACTCTTCATAAAGACTCCTTTGTAAAGCAAAGCTAAGTTTAAGAGGGTTTGGGGTGTCCAACACTATAGTTATCTATAGTTGGCTGGGTTTGTCGATTTTGAGAAAACCCTCCAAACAGCTCTTCAGTGCATACTATACTGTATGAGAATGAGAAGATATTGAAACAATAAGTAAAAAAACAACAACACATCCAAACCGCTCACTAGTACAGAGGGAGATCATTGCTGTATTAATATTTCAAGAAATGAACGGATACCCGTATTGGTCGGGCCACTTAGTCATGAAAGAGTTTGGATCAAACACATGCACTTACTGTGTCTTGCCTTGTAGCACCTCTTATTGTATAATCGAGCCCAAGTAGGTGGACGTCCTTTTGCCGGGATTCGCGTTTGGGCCCTCGGGGGCTGATGCGGCTTCCAAGGTGTTAATGGACGTTGGCGCCGAAAAAATGTTCAGGCACACTGAGAGGGTTGTGCATCAGAGGGGTGCATGGAGTCTGGGTGTAACGGAGGGGTGGGAGCACAGCTATAGGGCAAAGGCTGGGGCTGGGGAAAGAAGTTCTTAGCCACTTGGTAGATGTTGCTAGCATGTACCACTCCACCTCACCCTTGAGAACAAACTCGCGAAGCCTACTCATCAGAGCTGTTTTGACGGACCAGCTAGTAGATCCAAAGCAGACCGTCTGATCCCCTGACCCGTGCCAACGGAGCCCATGAGGCCGAACAACCTGGAGCTGGGACCGGTGTGGACTCTCAGGGGAAGATGGAGGTGGGACCCATGTGGTGCTCAACTGATCTCACCCTGAAGAGGCAGGCGGCAGCCTGTTGACACCACAAAATCTAGAAGCCGTCCTAGGACCAAACAGATGGTCCACGCTGGAGCTGACATGAAACTGACAATGTGGTGGCCAGAAGACTTCAAATTGTTGTTCAAGTTTTGATCATTTGACTGTGATCAAAGTGCTTAGCGCTTGCTGTGCTCTTGAGACCCAAACCTTGAATCCTTTGGCTTTGAAACACAAGTTAATCCTTTTTTTGCTGGTGCACTCATCTCCACCACGTGTGCATTTTGGATTTCCAAGATGCGCTGCACTGAGCGATTGTCCATCGACATGTGATTTTGATTTATGGATGGACACAGACAGATGATATAACGAAAGGACATACTTCATTGGGGTTCTTCTTATCTCATGTGACACATGTGACCTAGCCACGAACATTTTAAGTGACCCTAGCACATCGGTGCTCGACACCGATGGTCGCATCTACAGCGTTCATTCTCACCGCATGAGAATATGATCTGGATTGATTCATCAACCCGGAGCTCCACCCGAAGGTGTTTGGGGTCTACCGGGTCTAAATACCTTCTGGCGAGGCACTTGGAGGCCTAGGGGAAAGAGTTTAATCCTCACAAATCCTCAAATCCTCACTATTCTTGGCTGCAAGATCGGGCACCTTTGAAGTGGAAGCCTCTGGGAAAATTGAGACGCAGTCAAGTTGTACCCTCACATAATCACATACCGCTTGGCCGCTTGGATGCCCAAATAGACTGAATCGGATCGTTTTGACATGTTTTGACATAGCCATTTCGAGTTTGCCGTCGTTTGCACAGAACCTCAGAACCACAGAATCTATCAGAATCAGAATCTGACAAATCCTTTTTAAAACCAGATCAGTTGCGAAAATGAAGCTCCCCTACACCATGGCACCAGCTTAGATGACCGTTCTCCCAATTTCGCCGACTTCTCGCAGCGGAGCGAGTCCTGCTCACAGGAGGAGACGGGTCCAAGGCCTGGTAGCGTGGTGCGGAGCTGGGCTTGTGGGGAAGGGTCACAACTGTGGCTCAAAAGAGAAAAGCACTATGACAGAAAAAGAACAAAAAGGACACCTACTAGCGATGGCCTCCACCGCAGTTCTCCTTTGGGTCGTGGTTTCAGACATGTTTTCGTTTGTGAAGAACCTGAACTTGAGATGAGGGATCCCATTCTTTAGGTGAGTTGAAGCCACCAACCAGTCCTTTATCATCCCTTTTTTTTCGAGGTGAAAGCCGCGCCTTCGATGGTGGGAGACTTTCGTCTCTCGATGTATCTCAAGTTTATAGTGTCACATCAACACACGTCTCAGACGACAGAAGAAGTGACCGCGTGACAGAAGGGGTGAAGAAGCAGTTCCTACCAGTCGAATCAAACTTGACTTGTCATGGTTTGCTCGCAGGGTCCAAAATGATGCATCCCAAGTCATCCTTGTTGCACCAAAATCGATCCAAAGAGTGGGGTGCCCAAGAACGATATGGGTACTCCAGAATCACAGATGAGCCACGCTGAAAACCTCCCCCCGCGTAAGCTAAAACTGCGGTCGCGTAAGCTCTGCGTAAGCTTTGGCGTAAGCCAGACATTTCCAGGTTATGTCATATCGATGCTGCGTAAGGAAAGCTTGCAATGGCGTAAGGTGGCGTAAGCAGCGGCGTAAGCAACACCCCCGCGTAAGCTGAAACTGCGGTCGCGTAAGCGCCGCGTAAGTTTTCGCGTAAGGCAGTTCTTACGACATAGGAATCTATCAAGGTTTTCAGCATGGCTCAGATGGTCTTCGGCTTTTGCAGTGGCGCGTCACTCGTGACGCGACATACGACGCGTATCATGACTCTTTGCGTCCCTCGGTGCGCTAGACCTTTGGACTCGCTCTCTGGCAAGCTGGGCTTTGCGCCGCCAGCGCGCAGCTACACCTTGCGCGCGGGCTGCCGGATCCAGGCGTCGCGGCTCGGAACCTTTCCGGCTGTTCCGTCGTGGCTCATGGTGAGACGGATTTCGACGTGACGTTCGGAATCACTCCAAGGGACCTCCGTTTTGTTTTTCAAGAGACAGCTTCTCAGCAGCTTATTTGTTTAAGAATGTCCTCTATGAAATGAGTAGGGTTGACCGAGTTGACCCTGCAGATCAGGGGTGATTCTTGTAAATTGTTCCTTTGGGAACACACCAGGTCACCAGGCCGCCGCTGCTTGTTCACTCAGAACTGCTAGAGAAACAGCTACGTCAACTGACTTGAAGCGGCAGGTCTTCGACTTGAAGCGGCAGACGGAGCTCAACGGCTCCATGGGAGTGGCCTTAGAGTCCGAGACTCGCTGCGGATCGACTCGCTGCGGAGTCCGAACGTGGGACGGGCACGTCTTCCGTCGCTGGAGGTTTGATCGGCTGCCGCCCAAGACGAGAGACCTATACAAGTGTTCATCCAAAGATTTGTTGGTGATTGGGCTAGAATATCTGACTTTGCAGCCGGGGACAGCCGGGGCGTGACAAGGACCATGGACCATGCGTATGGTGGTTCGGGGAGGCTCGCCCCCGTCGAGCCATCCATGACGACACAAAGGTTCGGCCATGATGATGGGAAGACAACCAACATACAACAACATCCCTACCCCTTTGACCATCAAAAATGGAGGGGGACCTCCAGAAATGTAACTTACATTTTCCAGAGGTCCCCCCCTTGAATATGGTAGGGATAAAACAACAACCAAAGCGTGACACACCTTCGTGATGGGTCGAAAGGTCAAACATGGTAGCTGGCAGATCTTAGGAGAGGGAGGAGAGACTTCACCAAAGAAAAACATGAGACACAAGCTGGCACTCAGCACTACACAAGATGACATCATTTTTTCTTAACCAGGCTGCGGAAAAAGGTGTTTTGACCGGTGTTCATCGCGATGAGGTGGGTACAGCAGATTGAGCGCTGGAAGGCGAGAGTCATGGTCTTCAGTGCTCACGAGCCACAATGGGAGAAGTGGAGAAGTGGGAAAACCTCTCAGTGAAACGCACAAGAAGCCCCAAACACCAGGGTGTGAAGCTATGAACAAAATGAACTCCCATTGATTAGGCATGATATGGCACGATGGGTGAGTTTCTTTGTTTTCTTTTCGGGAACAGCTCGACAGATATGGTCAGGAGTCAGGATACTGTAAATCTGGCACCACCTTTTTTTCAGAGAAATCCGTATACAGTTTCCTTGGCAGAGAAATCCCCGTTTTCCTCACTGTTTTCACTTGTATGACCAACTCCAGTGCTTGTGCGGTCAAACAGGTCCCAACGTGTAGGTCACTGACCAAGTGCTTGTGCCATTCGACGGCCGGTGATCCCACCTCGTCGGGGGGGTTCAAACGATGGCGGGACCACGGACCACGGTGGCGTAGGGACGACGGCAACGGGAGAAGAACACTGGACCCGAGTGTAAGATGCAAAGCGATACTGTAGAGGTTGTCAGATGATGGGTTTTAAGTGTTGTTTTTCAGACTCCATGTGCCTGGCATCGTCATAATCCCTAGGGCTCCAACCATATCCTCAGAAGGTGGTTAGACCCCCCTGGCACCCACCCCGACCATCTTCGAAACGGAGGTAGTGGGAGCCCTAGGGAATAGTTGTCCACATTGGGGTGGTTTCAGGAGTTTTGGGGGTCGATGTACGTTTCAGAAATCACGGTACAGTGCAAAGTTCTGTCGATGAACGACTTCTAGTGCCTTTCGGCTGACTCCTGCACCTATAGATTATATAATCTATAAATTTATATAAGATTTGTTATAAGTTATATATATTACAACTATATGGTCACGGCGTTTTCTTGTTCTCGTTTTAAGGCGCCTGATATGTGTTTTTTTTAATTCTGCTTCATGTGACAATTGAATTGGTCAATCACATGTCCAAAAGTGAGCAAAACCGTCTTTTCAGCGAGGCGAACGAAATCTTCAGGATTCTGACCTGTCAACGTCCGTACCATCAACGTCCGTCATGGGTACACTCGTAGCTTCAAACATGGGTTCACAACAAGTCGCAAGTGTCACCCTTCTTCTTAGACTTTCGATGAAGAAGGTGAAGTAAGAAGTTTGGGAGTTGCAGCCACTATCTATCTCCTGCTTGCAGCAACTCTGCTGAGCTTCTTTGGCAAGTCTTGCACTTCTGTAATCAAATGTGAACTCTTTTGTTTTGGGTTGAGAGTTGATGGCAAGAGATTCTGACTTCGCGGCCTTTGGCCGGCACAATGCATATATAGCATATATATAGCAAAGAACATGCAACAAAAGAACGCGCAAAAACTCTGGTGTTGTATTAAACTGTCTAGTGACCACCATACCTCTTGTTTTGTCACCATATCTCAGCAAGCCCTAAGAAGAAGAGTCCTCGCAAGAAGCCCAGGGCCCCACACTTCGATTTCACCAAAGGATCCACGGACGTTCCACTTCCACCAAACGGACTGACAGACGAAGACACAGGATGTACCAACGAGTCCTGCAGATCAAATCGATCAGAACACGTGAGAAACATTCAAATCGGAACAAACCCCTAGGCCTCCAGTCGTACCTGTTGAGAAGGTGGGACTGGGGTGGGTGCCAGGAGGGTCCAGTCATACCGAACCTGAGCAGGTACTTGGAGGTGTAGGGAAACATGATTACCCCCCAACCTCCCCATTTGCAAACATGCAACCATGAGCCGCACGAAGTTCTTCAGCCACGAAGTTCTTCAGGCGACTAAGCATACTGCCAGCAAATATATTCACAGCAAATACCTAGCACCCCTCCTTGGAGGTTGGTGAACATACCTGGCACCATGGAACAAGGTCGCTCAAGGATTGGACGGTAGAGGGAAGATTGTTACATCCAGGCCGTTTTGCCGAAAGTTCGCGAGAAAGCCCCGGTCACTCCCAAATGAATTCTCTGTCCGTTGCAGGTGGTCTTGGATGATGGGTCCTCCTTGTTGCTGCGGCCCCAGGGGGGTTGGCTAGTGGGAGGATCGATCACAGACATTTGAGAGACCCTTTCGTTGGAAAGTTCAGAATCAATACACTCCCTGGAATGATCATGCTTACCTGACATGCCATGGCCCCGAATTCTGTGACATGATATGAGCTGCCAAAACCTCCGATGAAGGCAGCATCACTACAGTGAAGACTAAGTAAGTAAAGTGAAGGAAACCTTCAGGAACGATAAGGTTCACAGGAAAAACAAAATTCAAACACGATAAGGTTTTAGTACATGTTGTGTGTCCACACCCTCAGGAGCGATGAAGTTCATAGAAAAAAACGATAACGTTGGGAAGAGTACAACACATGTGACCACTTTTCCTTCTGCAATCTTCTACATATGGTCCTGGTCATCCATATCAGTCATATCATTCTTTTGGACCAGGATTTCTATATGTTTATATAACCCTAGCAGACTCTAACCACCCAAACCTGTTGAACTCCAACCATCCATGTCAAAACCTTCCCCATGTTGTGTCCTCTCCCAGTCAACCGGAGGCTCCGTCCGGCCCACCTCACTGCCGTGGGGAAGGGCTGGGACTCCGCCTCGGCACAGACCTGTGAGTGAGGCGACGAAGCGGTACGAACCGGTGCGTGGGGATAGAAACGGGGTTAGAAACTGGGACTAACTAACTGGGGTTAGTTCTTCGTATTTCTTTTGGGTCTTGGAATGGGTTAGAAACTGTTTAGATCATGTGTCCTGTTCTCAATGCAGACATTCTGTAAACACAAACAAACGAAAAATAGATAAAACACTGTTCGTAAACAATTGAACTTCAGACCATTCTCAAATCTGGCCTTCTTTTTCGGCCATGAAACTCTCTTAGGAAGATCTATGCATGGCAATATGGTGATACTTTTCGGGTCCGTGCTCAGCCAAGTCACCGGTATTCTTCGAGAACAAACGATGTTTGGTGAACGGATCGCAGCGCATGATGTTCGTTCATGAGCTTTCTCAGTGTAGATGTCTGAGGCAGAACTCTAAACCTGTCCATGGGGTAAATACCCACTGGCATTCATGAGTTTCATTTGGGAAAATCCAGACCTTTGGCATCCTTTGGTCCTTTGGCTTTCCAGACGGCTGCCAGGCTGAAGAGGGCCAAGCTTCTTTGCGTAGAAGCAGCGGGAGCACTGGAGCTGATCACAGCCGTTGTGTGTAGAGCCGGCGACAAGAGCCAGCCTTGTTGTTGGATCTGCCTTCTTGGGGGATGGGTTTTGCATGTGTTTTCCCACTGAAGATGGTATGCCACAATGTTGTATGCCACACATGGTTTCATGAGAGTCGATGGCATTGCCCACCTGGCAGGACGGAACAGGTGGAACCTTTGGTTCAAGGACTAAGGTCTAGGGATCGAGGCGGGAGTCAAGCACTGAAGGCAGTGGAGAAGACTCCCCTTCCGATCTTGGAGGTTGGAACACCCCCCGGGTCTTTCGCCTATTGGAACACCCAGGTCGTGGGATCTGAATAATGGTGAAGAAAGAAGTCGCCGACCGGGCGTTGAACCATCGACCTGGCGTTGGAACTGCAAAAACATCCACTGTGTTCCACAGTGGATGCGGATGCCGCGTGTCAGAACACCCCTTGGATGCCAAGTGCTTCTTTGGGAGGCTTGGAAGATGAGGACTTTTTCACAACTTGTATGAGCCATGTAAGCTAATTCCGGCATCGCCACCGTTTACAATTTGCAGTAGAAGTTTGTTGGGGTACTTCTACCAGTCAGTTCTGCTATCGACAATTCTTCAAATCGGCTGTCCAGATTCGATGCTCCTGACTGCACAGGTGAATAGCCTGTTGAAATTGGCAGCTGCCAAGCTTTTGTGGCTGGTTCCACACGGAACCCTGCCGGACAATCCAAGCAGAGCCAAACATTCTCAATCCCACAGAGCTCTCCCCTGGAGCTGTAGATCAAAAGCACAGAAGTCAGTCCCTTCCTAATCTGACTTTCTGCTTACTTTGAGCTTTCTTGAATTATGTTTGGAGAAAGAGTCCCACCACAGCATTGACGATCCTGAATGAAGCCATGTTCTGTAGCAACTAAGACTCAACTGCTGAGTTTTGCCCCAGACGTGGTAGCTTGAGCGACCACCAAACCATCCCAAGAGACCAAACTCACCACGAGGTGTAGCTCAAATAGACTGACCTCCCAGTGAGTTGACAGACCCCCGGAGGTTCACAACATCCACGTCGAAACTGTGACAAAGGATACACCAGGGCCACCGGTGTGTCAGGTGTAAAAAAGAACTTGCAGCATCTGGTTTCGAGAGTCGGCAGCGGGCAAAAACTTGCAGGTCTCCACTAGATCAGATCTATGATGATTTATGAGTCTGATCTATGTGACATGCATTTGGTGAGTTGATTCGAGTTTGTTCCTTGAGTCGCACAGAATCTGCGTAACCCGTTCGTTCTTCCCAGACATGCATGTTCGTTTAGTGGGTAGTAAACGTTCCGACTGATGCATAGCATACATGACTTGGACCGGTCTTCCTCAATGTCCATGTTTCGGTCTTGGCTTTGCCACTGCTTTCCGGTATGACCGGTCTCCCCAACGATGCCCACCATCCCTTGGGGGTCCGGAGCTCTTGAGATCGTGTCTTCTGTGGGTGAGCCGGTCTGACCAACTCCCGGCACTTGGTCCACGACATCGACGGTGGTACTGGGGTGAAGAACCGAAAGGCACCTTTTGGAGCAGAACCAACATCCAGACAGGGAACCCGACACGGAAGGACCAGCATGGATTCCGGGTGTCCATGAATAGTCCCTTATAAGGTGATTCGGGGTGTCCATCCACCCCTTGCGGGTCCAGGCCTTACTCCATGTTCGTTCTGCAACTTCAGTGGATTTCGCCCCGTTGGTTCACGCTTCTGTGGCTCAAGCGTTTGGGTTAAGCGGGAAGCGCGGCGGCTGATCGCGCGCGGCGCGCTGATCGCGCCGGTATTGCAGGCAGTTCGGGGCCTCAGGTTCACGTTGCGAGGGTTTTTCGGGCACCCACTGATGGTTTGCAATTCGGTGTTCTGGACTTTTTGTTGAGATCTGGAGCGATCTGGAGCACGGATGTTTGGATTCTTGGCTTTGGATTTGGAGGTTCACCTTGCACCATCCTAAACCGACTCTCAACAGGAAAACAGACCGAACTGTTGCTGTGGACTGGAGCACGGATCCTTGTCATGCCGAACTTGTGTCCACTGTAGCAGACGGATGTCACGTCTTTTTCAGGTGCACTGGAAGTAGAATTACACTCTGACTCACATGGAAGTGGGAAACCCCTTGTTGGTAGAGGAAGGACAGTATAGTCTTCCAAAGGACCATGCCATCCACATGACCATGTGATGTGTTCGTCAGAGGGTACGTCGGGGCACTCACGCCGACGACACCGGTCGCCACCGGTCGCCACGTGTCGACATGCTTCGGCTGAGGCCCGGTGCCAACGCCGCGCCCGCCTCACCGTCAGTTCCATGCTGCTTGGTTGATGGACACGACGGTCAGAGCGAGACACAGAGGTGACCGAAGGGCGGACGAAGGAAACCGAGGGCTTCCGAAGACGGCGCTGAAAAGTGAGGCGCCTTTAAGCGGGAAGGATGTCCGCAGGATCTGGGGGAAACATCTGGAGTTCCACGAGTGAAACATCTGGAACCCACAGACTTCAGGCTTCAGGCATTTTTATGGCAGGTTTTTTGGAAGGTGGGTCCAACGAAAGCAAACCTTCCGCGGTTCCAGACAGACAGATCAATATATATATATATACGTATATATATATATAGACATATATAGACACCGTTTCGCTTGCGTCTTATGAACACATTAATGCTTGGCCTCACTGTTTCCACGAAGACGGCCCCGCCAGGTCCCAAATCAGGTCCAAAAATGTCCAGATTGACAGGCGAAGCCTTGTGGTCAATTGTTCCTCGTGCTCAAGGGTTTGTCCCCTTTGATATAAATTTGTTTGTGGAAGAATCTGCACAGTATGACTGCGTGTAGTCTGGGTAGATATGTGTTCTTTTCAGTGACCTAAGATGACCTCAAAGTAGATCGAACAGATGTGTATTGATAGTTCTTCAAACTGAACATGACCTCAAATGGTTGACATCCAAGTAGATGTAGATTACCTCAAACTTTTATCCTTTAAACTCATGCATCCATGGGACCAGACGATACTGAACAGAAACAATAGGTATATTAATTGAGAGCGGGAGAGTGTACTTTATACATATATATATATATCGAGATCTAGTGCATTTTGAGTGTATTGCTTTATTCAACATCTGATTTTGCCTATTTTGTTGCCTCTTGAAATCATTGCAAGTGGGACACCATGGAGAGCTCCATCAGTCTCACACGCCCCGGCCGCCCTGGCCAAGGTCGATTTGCGCACCCCAGCGTTTGCAGGCAAAAGCGGGATCGACCGGGCGTGTGGGCGCAGAGCACATTGTTCCTTGAAGGTCTACGTGTTGATTGCCATGAACAGAGATGCCCATAGGGGAGGGATTGAGTGCAAAAGTTGGCAGTTGAGTAGCGAGCAGCACAAAACTGGGTACAATGGTGGTGCCTGTAACAAGAGTCCTTGTGTCTTTTGTGGCTGGGAGTCAGAAAGCCTGGTTTCAACCAGACAGCTTTGTTCTGTCAAACAAAGCGCTGGGGTTGGCTTGCCTGCTATATCAATGCAGGAAAAGGTCGGGTTGATCCATGAATGTATGGTGTTGTTGGCCATCATAACACACCCAGGAACAAAGTCTTTTATGGGTCAAACCAAGCGACCAAACATAATGGGTGAACATTTGCTGGAGAGCATTGCTCATGTTAAGCCATGTTTAGGACTTCATCCCACAGTAATTTCTCAGGGTCTAGTGTCTTTAAAATTCTTAAAGCATTAAACGTCAAAGCATTAAACGTCAAAGTGCCAATTACCTACTGAATGAGCATGGTGCCAAGGAACATGCAAGCCAGCTACAGCACAACATACTTTGGTCTTGATTCCCCCGTTCTCCGTCGCGGACCGTCAAAGTTTGCACGCCCTCAGGCGCCGTGCTTGACGGTGCCCACCTTGCCGGAGGCCGTGGCCGGACGAACGGACACAGCCGTGGCCACCCGACGTTCCCCATGGCGTCGCTATGCGGTGGAAGACATTGGAAGACCGTTGGCTGGCCCCGCCACCTACCTGCCTTCTCGCAAGCTTCCCTGTGGTGTTTGTAGATCCATCCCACGAACAAAGAGAGAGAGAGAGAGAGCGCGCCGTCCTTCAACTGGGGGGAACACAACTCATTGCCGAATATAACCCTATGCATGCGGGTGTTGTAGAAGCCAGCCAGAATTTGTTTTCTTTGGATCCATGTTGATATACATTCACAAAAGGAAGCTGGTAACAAGCATGTGGAGGCTGTATGCCCAGATTGTCACACAAGAAGGAGTTCATGTTCCGTTGCTGGAGCTGTCCTGGCAGTTCCATGTGGTAAACCCAAAACAGGTATGTATTTGCATGACTCCTTTTAAGCAGCGCGCATACTGTACTTCTTGGTGACAACTACTGTACTAGCCAGAACACTAGGCCCAGGCAGAAGCCATTGCGCAGATTTGATTTATCGGGCGTGCTACTTGTGTCAGTGCGTGAGTTATCAGGATCACTGATATCACTTCCACTATGTAAAGCTGTTTGACTCATGTTTTGATATAGGAATACTGCACTGACTCTTGACACTTGATGTTTAACACGCCCTCTACCACTGAGCTCGCAACCAAAGTTTCCTTTGAACCAACTATATTTTCCAACTGTGGTTCTGTTTATTCCAGGTGGTGTCCGTATCTTTCCTCCTCCAACAGAAGTATTGACACTACCAGGACAAAACTGTGCTACACTACATCTGGACCGTCTAACTAGTTCGTACCTGGCAGAAGTCGGCAGATTGAGCCGACAGTCGCAGGCGCTGCCCAGCGATGGACTTCATGGCTTCGTGGGGCTTACGCCGGGGGAGTCAGTGCGCCTTGCAAAACCGTAATTAGGATAGATAAGGATCTCTTGGGTTACACTATAGGTACATGAAAGGGATCACAACAAAAGAATGATCATGGTAAGGAGCCTCTTGTACCTTCTTGACGGTTCTTGATAGCAGGAACTGCCAAAAAGGACGCCAGAACACATTCCAGAACATGTCCCAGCCTTTATGCTAGATGACATG